TATATTATTGTGCGATATCTGTCTGACATATTTTAATTAATAAAACAAAGATATAGTTACAGGTGATGGTCACTTTGACAACAATACAACTAATATATAGTTGGATAGTGTTATAGGGCCACATTATGGGTTGGGTGTGCATGCGTTAACCTCACTGTAAACAAACTTCTTTGGGACTACTTTCTTTGAAATTGTCAACCATGTCAACAGATACATATTACATCTTGTTCAGGCAGTAGTTCCAGCTAAACTTGTTCACAACAACTGGAAATGATCCGTACTCATGCAGAGTTTTTATATTGTACAGGTTGGAGGTGGAGATACTTTTAACTGCTTTACAGTTTGTTTGCTTTGTCTGATGCAATACATCGTGATTTGTGAATATGGGCTATCCAATTTGACTAATTGATTGATGACATTGTATTGATTGATTGACTGGTTTTATAAGACTATCCTTTTTTCAATATAAAATGCCAGAATTGCAGAGACAATACAAGCTCATATACAAGTAAGCTTTTATTTAGCAGGGTACTGGTGATTGGGCATTATGACAACAACAATTTATACAAATGTATTGCAATTTAAAGGTTCAGTATTTATAATTTGGTGACATCTAGTGTTGAAATTGCATGTTGCAGTCTGGACTAACGTAAAAAAAACATGAGAGGGTCCCCTCCATGTAAATATAAAGTATTTGAATATAAAGGGCCTTTTCTGGGCTACAGAAAATTACAATTCATACAATTTAGATGAAATGAACTCGTGAAAACATCATGAGGATTATTCTACATTACATTCTTGCCGATAGATCCCTTTCACCTAAATCTTACACACTGGACCTTTAAGCTTAGTAAACTGCAGTCAGCAAAAAGGTCATTGAATGTAACAATAGCAGTGGGTCATTTGTAATTAATAATCACAATAAAGTATACTCTGCTGTGAGATACTGTGATGGTGTGTCAATCATCATTCCAGCTGTAACCTATCTTCACTCTACAAGCACACACACATACACAGTGTAAAGCTAACCTGTTCCTCCTCGGTGTGCAGGTTCTCTGTGCTTTATTCTTTATTTAGCCTCCTGCTTGTGTTGGAATGGGAATGTGTATCAGGAACAGCTATGACTGTGCATATGAGGTTGGAGATCCGTGTCAGTTTCCAACAAGGGCTCTATATTTAGCTGGTGAGGGGACTGGCTGACCCAGTCTGACTACAACACACTCACAGACACACTCCTCCGGACCCCAAATCTCTTTTACCTGCTGGCTCTTCCCTCAGCATTGGTGTGTGTTTGTATTAGTGGAGAGGAGGTGAGTTGAAAATACTTGATTATATGATGCTGCAGTGTGCATGTTAATTCCCCTCCTCCCTATACTAATGTGAATTTTTACTCCACCGTATCCCTACAGCACCATGACAGACTGAGGAGACATGGAGATTGGCTATGCTGCATGGAAATAATTTCTGTCAGCTGAGGCCTAATGAGAAAAAAGCTTGGTGGTTAGTTGAGTGGTCAGAGGTGATTATGTGTCAGTTGGAGGAGCCAGAGGCCACACTGGGCCTGGACAGTCCTGATCCGCTGGTGAGAGAAGCATTTCTGATGGCCTATGATTACATCGACTATGTTACCACAGGGGGGGCTGATGGGACCATGGGTCCTGCCCCTACAGCCTGCACCGCAGCCTTGCGCCATGCAGGAGACGAGCTCCTCAACCGGTTCCCCATCTTCTTCAGACGCTGGCCTCGTGTCTTCCAGGATGTGACGGAGAACACAGCCTGCACTATGCTCATGAGCATCCTTGATGAGCACTTCTTTCTCCCTGTCCCTGGGGGGCGCCGCAGGGACCTGGCCTGGAGCGCTGTGCTGTCAGTGTATGTGCTGGCTGGCCAGATGGCTCTGCATTGCCATGAGAGGGGCATGTTGGGGGTCTTGCCCCAGCTGAAGGTGTGTGTGGGCGCCTATGTACAGAGGGTCATCTGCCCTGACATACGAGACAAGGGAGGATGGGTGAGTGCTCACAAGTGAATACGAAATATTTTTCTTACTTTTAAGTAATTCAATTGATAAATAAAGTCAATAAAAATGAATGTATTACTTTTAATTCATTTGAATACACATGTATTAATATTATTAATAATTGTTATTATTAGAAAGGTTATGTAATAACAGCTTGATACAAAGTCCTGGTAAAAATATATGTTCAGTTTACAAATGGCCTGCATTACTTGATTAATAATCCAACTTTGGAGGTGTACATCACCATCCTATTTCAGACAACATGCTTTTACAAATTTTGACAGAGTGGTATCAAAACTGAATTGGGCAAATTATTAAACATGTTTTTTTTTATTGGTTTATAAGATCACTTCAAATGTACTGGCAGTTTCTCCAGTCTCTCACCTCTGCATAAAACACAGCCTACTATCACTTTATAAATTATGGTGAAATCTTTTTATTTCGGTGTGACAGGATGGCTTTGTGTCACGCTTTGGGAAGAAGAAGGACTTGGAGGGTCAGGTGAAGAGAGTGTGCCGCTGGACACTGCTGGGACTAGCCACAGGCCTCCTCACCTACCTGCTATGGAAAAGAATGACTTAGCCAGCACTGCCTCCTACTGTTCACCATCAGAAAGTGCTACATCAGTGTCCTCTTGAGCACTGTAGCTTCTATAAAGCCTACAGAAGCCATACTCAGTTAACATATCTGAACCATTTTCATATCATTACATTGTTAATGTTTGATTGATAATTGGTGTTGGAACCGGTAATGCACGTAAGTATTCAAGCCATTTCGTCAGTCCCATGTCAGCTTATCGTGTTTACACAGCAATTCATGGACTTTGACCTGGTATACGTCACCAACCTCTGCTGTTTTAAACTCTACATGTAGTTAGCGAGGATTAATCAACAAGCTGATTTATACTGGATTTCTGTTAGTGTTGAAATGACATTCTTCATATTAATCAGCATTTTCAGACCAGAGTAAAGATGGAAACACTTTTAAGAGGCAAAGTACAAGCTACAGTAAAGCTATTATCTGGACAATATTACTTTAACTGCTTTCATGACATCATTAAGTAACTTACAGCATCTGCCAAACATTTAAACTTGTACATGATAAGTCAATATCAAAATGTACACTCATTAAAAACAGACACGTTGCATATGCAAGAACTTTTATTAACAGAACAGTAGACAGAACACTGAAAATTACATGTCCACTGCAGAGAGAGAACAGCAAATGGAACACTGAAAGTTACTTTGAAACATTACATTTCCACTGCAGAGACAGGACAGCAGCTGGAACACTGAATTACTGTGAACGTTATTTTTCACTGTAAAATAGAACAGCAGAAGGAAGACTGGAATTTAGGCAAGCTCCTCCTCACCCTCCTCCTCAAACTCTCCCTCCTCCTCAGCAGTGGCATCTTGGTACTGCTGGTACTCAGAGACCAGGTCGTTCATGTTGCTCTCTGCCTCGGTGAACTCCATCTCATCCATACCCTCTCCGGTGTACCAGTGGAGGAAAGCCTTGCGCCTGAACATGGCAGTGAATTGCTCGGAGATACGCTTGAAAAGCTCCTGGATGGCTGTGCTGTTGCCGATGAAGGTGGCTGCCATCTTGAGGCCACGGGGAGGAATGTCACAGACTGCGGTCTTCACGTTGTTGGGGATCCATTCGACGAAGTAGCTGCTGTTCTTGTTCTGCACATTTAACATCTGCTCATCAACTTCCTTCATGGACATGCGGCCACGGAAAATGGCAGCCACTGTCAGGTAGCGGCCGTGACGTGGGTCGCAGGCAGCCATCATGTTCTTGGCGTCAAACATCTGCTGGGTGAGCTCTGGCACGGTGAGTGATCTATACTGCTGGCTGCCTCGGCTTGTGAGGGGAGCAAAGCCTGGCATAAAGAAGTGCAGACGGGGGAATGGCACCATGTTTACAGCCAACTTACGCAGGTCAGCATTGAGCTGGCCGGGGAACCTGAGGCAGGTGGTGACACCGCTCATGGTGGCAGAGACCAGATGGTTGAGGTCGCCGTATGAGGGGGTTGTGAGTTTGAGGGTGCGGAAGCAGATGTCATAGAGGGCCTCATTGTCGATGCAGTAGGTCTCATCTGTGTTTTCAACAAGCTGGTGGACTGATAGTGTGGCGTTGTAGGGCTCAACAACTGTGTCTGATACTTTGGGGGAAGGCACCACACTGAAGGTGTTCATAATGCGGTCGGGATATTCTTCACGGATCTTGCTGATGAGCAAGGTTCCCATACCAGAGCCTGTGCCCCCACCCAGGGAGTGTGTGAGCTGGAAGCCCTGCAGGCAGTCGCAGCTCTCTGCCTCCTTCCTCACCACATCCAGGACAGAGTCCACCAGCTCTGCACCCTCAGTGTAGTGACCCTTGGCCCAGTTGTTGCCGGCACCACTCTGGCCTGTAAGGAAGAATTCATACAGATTAAGCTTCTTTTTTTTACAGAACTCAACGTGCATCAAAATAGCTGAATATGCACATTTAATATAATCTTACCAAAAACGAAGTTGTCTGGCCTGAAGACCTGGCCAAAAGGTCCGGACCTCACAGAGTCCATGGTACCTGGCTCCAGATCCACCAGCACAGCACGGGGCACATATTTACCACCTGCAAAATCAGGACGAGAGAGGAAAAATGTCATGTCTGACCACACAGTGCAATTAGAGTCAACTAAAATGAATGAAAAGAAACTAACCTGAGGCCTCGTTGTAATACACATTAATCCTGTCCAGCTGCAGGTCACTGTCCCCATGGTAGGTTCCAGTTGGGTCAATACCGTGCTCGTCACTGATGACCTCCCAGAACTACAAGAGGAAAAAAGATATTGTTAACTGATGAAAACACGCACGGCTAAGCAGCGATCATCCACCGGAAGAGATCGTTCTTGACTCGATGTCAGTATTTAGTAGATAATTCATCTTTTACTCGAGTGATATCTAAACAAAGGACGCCTCACTTCCCGCCACGCTGCCTTCGGCGCGCGCGCCCTGCCCTCCTATTGGCTGCGACTCACGGCTTGCGAGTTCGAAATTTTTTCGCTACGTCACCGACCGCCAACTCCGCCCAGAGCGGGCGCAGTTTGAGGCGTCGCAGCCAGGGAGGCCGCGAGGAGCCGGAGCCACGGCGCCGGACAAAAGAGCCTGGAATTCCCTCTGCAAGCGGTAAAAAACACGTTCCATCAGCATGATCACCCACCGCAGCGAGCGAACAACGGAACAGGACTGAACTTCTTTGTCACCCGAACAACAGAAGACCCTCACTTCCCCTTTTTCGCATTGCGCTACTGTCGAGTAACGATTTGAATGAATTAAAATTCGCTCTTTTCATCCCGCCGGTGACGATCGGACGGGTTTTAAACGATTATTCTAACATCTGCTGAACGTACAATGGATGGACTGAATGATTTCAATGGAATATTCAAAACATGTCAAAATTGAGTTAAAATGGCTTTAATTCGACCATATTTCGATAAATTGTGTTGCCTAACCAGCAGCTACGTGTCCCTGAGTGTAGATCTAATGTTTAATGGACCTTCTTTCTTAAGTAGGACACACTGAAATTCACAGGGTGTGGTTTTCATGGACGCGTATGGGCACAAAGCAGCGGCTCCCACACCAGAAATCCAACACTGCACATTACATGTGACATGAAATGACTCAGTTGAGGCTCTGCAGATAATAAAAAAAAAAAAAGAAATGCTTTTACTAACCTTAGCACCGATCTGGTTCCCGCACTGTCCGGCCTGGAGATGGACGATTTCCCTCATTTTCGCAGTAGGTTGGGTGGACTTCGACTCACACGACTTCGGCTTTCTTTGTGCGCGCTACAAGGCGCAACCCTCCTTTTATCATAAGCTAGAACCCGCCTATTTCTCCGCCACTCGAATGCCCATTGGCTGATCCGCGGAAGCATTTCTTACGGGCACAATCTTTGACCAATCAAATCTACCAATACTGATCGCCCATTGGCCCAGACAGCCTGTCCGTCACACTCATCTCTAACGTGTGACTGCTAATCTGTAGACGTTGGACTACTCCCCTTAAGATGGCGGACAAGATTCACGATGCTGACATCACGCTATGTTCTGCACTTCACTGCCGCATCGAAGCTGTAGACGTAGACAGCGAAACGGTTTTTAAAAATTTTTATTAAAGGATTTCATCAAATCCATGATCCCAATCCCAGTGCTATCCCACTGCTAGTTAGCCACAGCCGACGTGGCTAACAGGATGCAGTGGTCAGTGTGGTTTCATTAGCGGAAACTGTCGCAGTGACACAGGCCCTGCCTCTGCTTATGCTACAACAGAGATTTTCAGTCGTGTGCTGGTGAGGCCTGTATACACACTTGCATCACAGATCAGCACATTCGACACGTCAGAGCCTGATTCTGCTGCTGCTGCTGCTGCTGCAGATCATCTCTGAGCCTCAGTCTGAGTGAGATTCTCACACATTCATTGTTGATTCTGATGATAAAGAATGAGTATTACATACAAGCCTGCAGCCCCAGTGTAAGGCTCAAACATAATGTGTATAAAACCTGACACGCTGTATAGAGAAAAGAAAGGTTTGTCCTCATGTTGCTGTGGAATGAGGGCAGGTGATTTTATTGATAGTTAATTTAAAGGCCAGTAGAGACAGTGGCTGTGCTTCCAGCATTTCTTCCTGTTGCAGTTGCCATGGCCTTGTCTCTAAGGACAGATCCTGACTCCTAGGTAGTTGTCGCCATGACGATTAAGCTGGACACAGCCGACTGGTGTGCATTAGCACAGGGGTTTCATAGTAGGCTTTCTGTGGAGCCACCAAGCCTTTAGTACAGTATCTGTACATACCATACATTGTTATGTAGATTAGTTCTTGTGCAGAAAAGTAAAGGCTTTCTGGGGGTGTATGAATAGCAGTGGGTTCATTCTGTTTCATTAAATCTAATCATGTTCTATTAAATTCATATTCTCTGGGCCTGGCAGGAATACCACTGCTATCATATCACACAGTATGTAGGCCAGGCTCAGTCTCTGTGCATTGTAATCTAACACACAAAAGCCTTGTCTGTGTGCTTCATGACAGAGGTATGCCACTGAGAGGATGACTCAGGGTATAAGACCAGCTAGCTTGTATTGCAGCCTCTTCCCCTTTTTACTTTGGGTCTTGCTTCCAGAGTGCTTCCTGAAACTGCTGAACACAATATGACACAATTTTTCAAACTATATCCACAGTGTTTAGCTCAGTACTGGAATCCCATGCCCTCATTTGGCAAAACTATCATGCAATGAAAATGTGACAAGTTGGAGCCCTGCAACGGCATGTGTGTTATTATTGTTATCAGTATCTTATTTTCAGCAGGGAGATATAGGGATTCTGGAGACTCTTCAGCAAAGGCCCAGGGTTCAGAGGACCACTCTGCTGAGGTCTCTGAAATCCCCTTTAGCTATAGAGGTGCTGCTCTCAGTGGAGGTTTGATCTCTCCCTACAGCACATCCATCTCCTATAAATTAATTTCTTAAGTCTCCAGTATTCTCTTTTCAGACTTTAATCTTTCTCTAGCATGATACATGTTCTAGTTGACGAAACACTGCTAAAAAAGTTCTTACTGTATTTTAGGTGCAGGGAGTGGATATTGTAGGAAAACAAATGGCATACAGTTTTTCAGATATATGCAGTGTGAGTTTATTGGCATGTTATCATATTTTCAGATACATTCAGTGTAACTGTGAGCATCTCATTTTAAAGTCACAGCCATGTATATACGCTGCGTTCCAATTCATCCCGAATGCGTTGGATGGGGTTGAGGTCAGAGCTCTTTTCAGGCCAGGTCAGCTTCTTCCACATGTTCTTCACATGCTTTCGTAGACATGCAGTTCATCCGATGTATTTGTTCTCTTCTCATGAGGATAAATGTTCTGTGTAAAACGAATGAAATATACAACATGATATTCAATTCAGTTTTTGTAACATGAACATGAGCACTGAGGAGACAGAGGTCATGTCCTGGGTAAAATATGTGAATAATTTGGCATGTTGAAATAAAATGTGTTGCATTTTAGATTTTACAGTTCCACACATACATTTTGACCAATGTTACTGCTTAAGCTCACAAAGTGATACCTCGGGCAACTACTGTGTAGTTTGACACATCATTTTAATACATTGTCATGGTGCCCTGAGGAACAATCATAAGGATTTTAGTCATCCTTTCATGTTGACTCAAGTCACTATGAGGATGACAGTTATGGTTCCATATTGTTCATTATTGGATGGATAGATAGGACATTTGCATTCATATTGTCCTTATGTTGTAGGATCAGTTTAGTAATCA